AACTCTAGGCCAGAGGCAGATGATTCTGCCTGGGTGGCTTATGTGAAAGCCTGTGCAACCTACAGGTCTTGGGCCAGCCTACTGTCACAAATTGTCACATGTAAGAACACCAAGAAACCCAGCCCTTCCTGCCCATGGCAGGTATGCCTGTGGGAGCCCCCAGCCCCATCCACCTTCAGCAAGGCCTCATCCAAGCCCTCCACTCTAGCAACTCATCTGCCAAAGTTGCTGCTTCGTGGGCGGGGCCCCAGGCTCACCATGGAGAGCAGGAGAAGAGGTGGGCTGTGACTACATACCCACAACCCTGAGCAGAAAAGTAGAGGGGCCTCCCACCCCAGCAGATCTCCACAAAGTCTTTTCCTTGGCACACAGCAGCAGACATTTCCAAGTGGCTCTTAGGAATCCCCAAATAAGATAGGCCCAGTGACACACAACTGTACAACAGTGATGCCAGCCTAGGGCTGGGGAGGGCAGGACAGCAAACTGGAGAGTAGTAGTGAAGGGTCTAGGTATTGGGCTGAGTATCTAGACGGAAGGCTGAGGCAGAGGGAGTACAAATTTGAGGCCAGCCTCAGCAACCTAGTAGGACCCTATTTTTAAACAAAATTAAATGGGTTGGGGATGCAGCTCCATGGCAGAGGCTTGCCTAGCACACCAAGGCCCTGGCTTCAAGCCCCAGAACAGCAAGAGAAAAGGAAACATTGACTTGTTGGCATCAAGCAGCACCCTAGCCTGGGGCGCAGCACCCCAGGCAGCACCCCCGCTGAGGGCAGCTCAGCAGCCTACACGGTCTCCTCAGGCAGCCAGACACAGCACTGGGCCTGGCTGGGCCTGGCTGGGCCTGAGGAGAATGAGCCTCAGAGCTGACCCTGAGCCCCTCAGGCCCCACATGCCCATACCAGAGTGAGAGCCCAGATGGATGGTTATCACACTGGGTAACTGATGGCAAGAGTTACGGGGACAGTAAATCAGGCACCATTTTGCGAACCCTAAAGGTCTCGCCCCCCTTGCCCCAGACTCTCCTGCAATATCCATGACAATCAGGCAGATCTCCACTCAGACCCACCACACGCTCCAGCCCCATAGGGGCCAACAGAATCTTAACCCTTCAACCCCAGGAGAAAGGGAAGGCAGAGACAAGGGGCACAGGGTCAAGAGGGTACCCCAAGCCACCACCCCCCCCCCCGACTCCAGTCAAACTCTGATTCTAAATCTCTGGGGCCCAGAGAACTCTTTGGAGGCAGAGGAGACAGGGTCAGGAAGGGACTCCCTGAGTCAGGCTGGAACCTTCCTGACACTCTCAGTCCTCGGGCTGAGCAGCCGCACGGCTGCTGAACAATGCAGTTTTGAATTCAATTAAAGTGATTATCTGTTGTGCCAAATAAATTGTGTACAGCATATATCCTGCGGCACTTTACACCTCGGGGCTCATTATTCCCTAACTGTTTCCTCCTGTTTATGTGCTCTCAAATTAAATTGCTGATAATATGCGCCAAAATAAAAAATGAGCGCACCTTGTCCCAAGAAAATTGATTCTCCCTTCTCCTGAACTGGCGATTGCCAGGTTTTATATACTCTGTTCCTGGTGATCATTAGTAATTCAATTTTCTTTTTATTAGCCCCCTTATCTGCTGAGCAATATAGTGGCAGGGCTGACCTCTTTCGCACGGGTAAATGTTTAAAATCTTTTCCCTGATTAATTTTGCCAGTTAAGAAAAAGAGGAGAAATGGCCCGGCTCTTAGCCATCACAATGAATAAAGCTTAATGTTGATTGTGATGGAATTTCTAATGCCAGGGAAATTGATTGAACGCGGCAATTACGCTGCAAGAGTAACTCGAGGGAGATGGGATCGCTTTCTCCTGGCCGTAGCCTTTTGGTTATTTAAAACAATCCAATTTGCAAGGATAATTATGTATTAGTGTTTTATCTGCCACTTGAAATGAACAGGGGAGTTTCGATACTGGCCCAGCATTAGCAGGTTATTGCTGCAAATTACTTGATATCTGCTTTCTTTCACATAAAGAGGAAATTAGGCAATCAATTACTAGAAAAAGGTGGACTTAAGAATAAGAGAGGCAAGTGCGCCCTCTGCTGGCAGCAAGGCCACAAGGCAGGGCTGCCCTGCAGCTGCCAAAGGCCTCTTTCCCTCCCTCCCAGGCACAGAAGCCCATTAAGAGGTCAGGTCCCTCCCTGGACATCAGGACACTGCTTCCCTGGAGAGCTGGAGCTGGGGCTAAGCATTTTCTGGAGGAAAATGGGAAAAGAGAATATTCCAGCCAGATGAAGGGGCAGCCCCATCCACTGGGAGGAACTGCTACCTAGGAGCCACACAACCTTGGGTTCCACACCCTCCTGGAGGCAGAACTACATCTGAGCAAGATCCCCAGCTTGGAGACCCAAGACAGCCCTAGCCAGGAGGGAGGGAGCCAGCAGGCCTTGCAGGAGGAACCCTGGGGAAGCCTCACGTTGGCTTCAGGATTACCCAGGCTCCGCCTAGGTCCCAACCCAGGGAGATGCTTGTCCTCACTCCCACCCCCTCTCATGATGCCCTAACCAGGCCCCTGTCCTCCTGCAGCAATCCCAGCTCGTGGCCTCTGCTGTCCAAGTTTCGGGTGGCAGTCTCTGGGACCACCTGGTGCGCCTCAGCATCTCACACCTCTTATGTCCGTCTTCCAGAGGCCCCTGCCCACGTGGGAGGTGAAGACACTCACATAGCCTGGCACACAAGGCCACACGTGCAGGCCTATGACTCATAACCTGCTCCAGCCTCCAGGGCACTGTGGGCCTGTTGCTATCCATGAAAACACGACCCAAGTCCCAGCTAACCCTAACCCTCTTCTGTCCCACCCTGGCTTCCCAATGTAACCGGAAGCAACCCTCTTTTTCTTACTGGGACCTACAAGAACTTTCCCATTGTCTGGTTCCCTCACCTGGGACAACATGTCAGCTACAGGGCCTCCCTTCTGTTCCTGGAACACAGGAAACTCAGTCCCACCCTGCCCTCCACTTGCAGAACTGAGAGTTACTTGCTCTCTCTTCATTCAGGTCCCCTCCTCAGAGAATCCCTCCCAAACACCCGGTCAATGCTGTCCAGCCTTCCCAAGACTCACTGCTACACTCTTCTGCTTCCTCATTTTCAGAACACACTGAGCACCCAAAAGCATCTTTCCAGTCCGTCCATAAGGACGCAGATTGCCACCTGTCTTTACCACCAGAGCATGGCTCCAGCATCCCCTAGGAGTCAGCATGCCGCCTGGCCCCAAAGTGACCAACATGTGGTTGGCGAGTAGGCAGGCAGGGGAGGGGGTAGGAGACCTTCCCAGAGGCCCATCACCACAGGCCCTCCCTTACAGTCACCACACTTGATTATGAGGTTGCTCGCTCCCCTGGTCCTATCAGGGCAGTGACCATAGCAGCCCCCACAGTTCCCAACAAGGCCTGACCCAAGGTGGGAACCTAGGGACCCACATTCCTTCCTGCCTGACTACCTGTGGGGCTCACGGCAGTGCCAGCCCCTGCCAGCAGAACCATCCCCAGTCCGTACCCCACCCTGCCCCAGGCCAGAGCGAACAGGCCAGCTGCAGGCACAGAGTGTGGAGCTGACTCAGAGGACACCAGTGAGGACCTCACTCAGCCATCCTCCCACCCTGCCTTCCCATGACACCGGCAGGCCCCTCCACCCAAAGCTGGAGCCCTCCTCCACCTATCCTCCCTACTTGACCATGAGCACCTGCCCTCTGTCCAGTCAAGTCTTTTTTCCACACTCCCATCCAGCCACTGCACTGCAGCACCAGGTACCTCTTGGTTCCCCTGCTCCCTGTCACCTGGGAAGATCCACACTGGCCCCAGCACATGGCAAGAGTCAGCCACACAAAACAGCAAGCAGCCAGCACCCTCCAACTTTGCTGCCTCATGAGCCTGCAGGCCCAGTCCCAGCTGCACAAGCCCCTTCAGTCCTCTGGCTGGGCTGTGGGCCCCACACTCCTGTACCCAGCTCTCCACACAGGCTCTCAGCTCTGCCCAGCAATGCCCCTCCCAGAGCCTTCCCCAGAACCTTCCCGGTCAGCCAAGAATATTTCCTGAATGAGAGCCAGTATCCACTCAGACTGCCCATGTCCATGCTTGCTAGTCTCCAAGCACCCCACCCTTTCCAGACTCTACACACACTTGGCCACATTTGCCCAGGTGCTCCAAGGAGAATGACAGGAGATGCCACAGGGTTAGGTGTACTCAGACAAACCCAGCTCCCCATGGCCACACCAGGTAAGTGCCACCCCTAGGACTCAAGACCCCTCACCACAGATCCCGGAGCACACACTGGCCTGGAGGTGGCCCCCCAGTGTCAGTGTATCCTGACACGTCTCCTCCCAGTGGGGGACAGGGCTGTCCTCAGAGGAGTCATACCTACAACCTGTAGGCCAGGATCTACTCAGGCAACCGCAGGGAGCTCTCAGGACCTCCCACAGGCTTCCAGCTGCTCACAGCAAAAGGTGACTCTGGGAGAATGCAACGAAGACTTCCAGGCTGGCCCAGGACAGGGGAGCGGAGCCCTGTGGGCCTCCCTTGGAGGAGGCGAGGCTGGGCACAAGGGCTCTTACCCATCACCTCCCACAGGAGGGACGCAGTGGGTACATACTGAGGACTGGGCAGAAAGGCTACCACACTCCTGACTAGCTGCACTAGCCCCCACCCAGGCACAACACTCCCAGTCCCTCTCCTGCACTCATCACCTGGCCTCCCGCTGCCCACCAGGCAGAGCCCTCTGGGTCCACAGCCCTCCAACAGCATGTTCAGGAGACAGCAAATATGGTTCCTAAAAGGCCAGGGAGGAGCCAGATGTGGTGTGCACCACTGCAATTCCAGCAACCTAGGAGGCTGAGGCAGAAAGAGTGCAAGTTCAAGACCAGACACTGGAGATGCACCTCTGGGTTCAATCCCAGGGAGGGGTGCAGCTTGCAGCCATTCCCATCCCATGATGAGCCCCTTCCCCTGGCATACCTTCCTTGGAGGGGAGGTGGGCCCGGCTTGGTGGCAGATGGCACAGCCGATGCCTAGTGACCTGCACCAGGCCCTTATTGGGAGTCCTCTTCAGAACAGGGTTGTTCTTCCCCCGAAGGACCTGTCTCCGCCGCAGGTTAAGGTGGCTCTTGGTAGTGGCAGGTGAGGGGCCATTCTTCTTGTCCCCAGGAAGGCTGTAGAGACAAAATCAAGCAGATACCAGCGGAATCACTGGTGGCTCTGTCCACCCACCCTTCCTTACCCAAGTCTTCATGGAAGGGCATGGACCCAGACACAAGCAGGCAGAGCTCCGTGGCTTCTTCCAAAGCCCTGCCTTCCCTACCCAGTCTGACGCAGCGCCCACCTGGCTGCTAGTCCACTTCCCTTCTCCCCCTCCCCTTCCCTCTGCAGCCAGGATGAGCAAGCAGGCAGATCCGTAATCAGAAGACCCGGGCCAGGGCAGGCTGCCACACTCCCCACCAGGGCAGAGGCCTCAGACCAACCCCTCCTGGAATGCCCACTCCGCCCCACTTCCCCAGTCCAATAACCTCCTGCACAGGGTGGGGACAAGCAGCAACAGAAAGAGATGCAGCCCTTGAGGAGGAGCTGCCACCAGGCCCACAGGCCAACCCCGCCCACCTGTGAGAGGAGTGCCCCAAGGCTCCCTCTCCACACTCCCCAGAACAGAGGAAGCACAGGCATGGTACAGCAAAGCCACTCTCCGAGAATTTGAAGAACAGGGACTGGGGTCAGAGGAAGGGAGCCTACCCTGAGCCAAAGACAAAGGTCAGACAGAAGAAAGAGCTCCTGCAGGGCTGGGAAGGCACACTCCACAGCAGACACTCTGCCCAGCGGTGCAGCCTCACGCTTCTGTTTGTTAGCTGCTCATCTGATGAAGTCTCAGAACCCAGAACAAGACTCTGGGCTACAACATCATCTTTGAGTCTCTCTACAACTCATGAGGATGGGTAGCTCAGAAAGGACTGTATGCTTGTGAGGTGGTAGCACCATCTAGTTACCTGGCCACCACCAAGAGAGTGGCTGGGATGTAAGATCATTTTGTTCCCTCTGAGGATGGCCACCTGCCACCTCGTCACTTTCTGAGGGTGGCCAGAGCTCAAATCTGAGAAATCCCAAGAGGCTGCAGTGCACCAGCCCCACCCAGCTGCTGCCCACTGCACTGAACTGGAGCAGCAGGCTACCTGGCCATGGGCAGAACACCCAACAGGGCCGGGCCTCGTGGGCCCAAGGCCCCAGCACCCCCCCACCTCAGGGCCAGTGCCCAGAGCCCCAGGCCACCACCCAGCTCAGATGCATGGTCCACAGCTCCAGACTGGGGGCAACCACAGGCTCCCACACAGCCTCCCCCTCCTGTTGCACTCTGGGCAGACTATCTATGGTGGCTGCTCCCCAGAAGCCAGACTGGTACCATGCCATCTGTATCTACAAATGTGGAAGGGAAACCATGCCTCACAAGCTTCTGGCCATGAGACCAGGCTCCCACCCCACCACTGCCTGGCTGGATCCAAGGCAAGTTCCTTAGTCACCCTGAGCCTCCCCTTATGCAGCTTTAAGAGTCTCAAGCGCGACATGGCTCTACAGGACAGTAACACCTACAGCCCACTGGACACAATCCCACACGAAGCCCCTAGGTCAGGCCCACAAGCCAGTGGTGCTGATCATGCCCACCATGAGCCCCAACCCTCGCTGTCCCTCCCTGGAGGTAGCCCCCCCTCCCAACACTCTTGGAGGGAGCAGAGGCTAAGGGCTTGCCCCAGACTCCACAACTCAGGGGCCAAAAGGATCTTGCTGGTCCCAGCCCCCTCCGCGCACCCAGATGGGACACTGGGCAGTGGAGATGCACACCTGGTACTGCCCCGCCTCCGGACAATCTTGGTGCGGCTCTTTACTTTGTAAGCTGACAGTGGTGTCTCCCCAAAGAGGGGCTTCAAGCTGCCAGGTCCCACTGATGGCCTGTCTCCTGGTGGAGACCTAGATGGAACTGGGGAAAGTTGAGAAGCATGATCCTTGCTGCCAGCCTCTGACTGCCAACGGAAGGAGGAAGAAGAGGAAGCAGAGGGGCTGGATGCCTTCCACTTGTACTTGCTGGGAGAGGGCCCGGTCTTGGAGTTCATGGCCAGCCTTCTGGGCCTGGCCTCTGGGTCAGCTCTGGGCTGTGGCTTCTCTGTCTTTCCAGATGTGCCAAAGGAGGCCCTGCTCACATTCTCTGTAGCTGCTCTGGGACTGAGAGACCTCCGAGTGGCCCGGGGGCTCTTTGCAGAGGAGGCCACCCATTTGTAATTGCTTTTCCGAAACTTGTTGGTTCGACAAGACACTAGCAGTGAGGTTTCCCGGGCCTGCCTGGGCCCTGAGACTGATCTGGCTGGGGCCACCACTGAGCCCAAGGGAGCTGGCTGATCCGGATGACCAGCATTCACTCTTTCATCCCTAAGGGGCTGCACAGCACAACTGGCTGCAGAATGAGGGCCCACCTTCCGACCCAGGGCCATCCCAGTACGTGGGGGTAAGGTGGAGGACTGCAAGCAGGCCTGGACGACAACTGCGCTCTCACTGACTGTCCGCCGGGGCTCCGCAGGGCCATCATTCACACTGCCCACAGACTTCACAACCCGTGGCTTGCCAGGCTCCTTCTGGCAAACCAAAAGGGGATCCTTAGCACTATAGCTCCCCCTGCCTCTTCCTGGCCTCAAGGGCTGCAGCTTCCCAACAGGAGGCTCACCCTCGCCTTCCTGGGGTCTTTGGTCACTCCAGGGCATGTCCTCATAGTCTTCCAAAGAGCTCCTCTGGGGTCCTAAAGTACTTATGGAGCCAGACTTCGATGGTGGTTTGATTTTGATGACCATGTTCTGATCTGGACTGAGCTGGACCTGTCTCTCAAGAATATACGGCTGAGGGTCAGGGTCCTGGCTGCCTTCGTCCTTGAGGGGTGCTTGCACAGCATGGTCACCAGCTGGTTCTGAGGATCCCGAGGGCCGGTTCACAAGGGAGTATTTCTTACGCCATGCAGGTCCATGGTGTGATGAGAAGCCCCTTCGGCTTGGACGAGGGTAGCGGGCAGCAAAGGCCCTGCCACTGTGGTAAGAGGGTGGCTGCCACTGGGAAGCAGATGAGGTGCCTGGGGCAGAGGCATTGCCATGGAGGTTTTTGTAGTCATCGATTAGACCTGAGAAGACAGAATTACAGACTCAGTCAACCAGAGGTGTGAATACAGCAGCATTAATCACTATAAGGGAGGGGCATAAGCTGGCAAGATGCCCTCAGACCCTGCCTCCGGAGTCCCTGCCTGATTCAGGGGGCAGCCCCCAATGCCTGGAAACAGTTCAGCTCAAAACCCTAGGCCTGTCTTTTGCACAAGACTTTTTCCCATCTGTTCTATTTCAATATTACTTCTGCTGGTTTATCCTGAAAATGCAGCCCTGTGGTAGGTCAGTTTCTATTTGCTGCTTTGTTAGATCCACAATTCTTTAAGGGAAGTGTCACTCCATATGCAGAGACCAGCCAGGTCCCAAGCTGCAGTCTCTGGACAAGGATACAAGTCAGCCAGAGTGGACCTCTGCTCTGCCCACAGAAGGGAAGGATGCTCAATAATTTCCACGGAGTGTAATGGAAACAACGCCCCCCAACACTGGTACTTGACAGCAGATAAAAGAACACTCAATACACAGGCTGGTGACCTTCCTGATGTGTCACTGACTTCTCCAAAACAGGAGGCCTGACACCACAGGCTTTCCAAGGAAGTCCCCAGTGGCTGGCCTGGCGCAGGGAAGCAGGACACAGGCACCAACACTCGGCTGCCAAACCAACAGGCAGCCCTCCAGTTACGGACACCCCCAGGCCAGTCCTGCCCAGACAAACAGAAAGCCATTCCAGACCAGGCGCCCGCTCAGGGCGAGTGCGAGGGAAGCCCAGCGGCGGCAGCCCGCCGGATTCTCACTCCTGAGGCCTCCCTCTGTGGGGATGACCTGGAAGGGTTTTAAGCCTACAAAGACCAACCTAGGTTCTAAGCAGGAAGCTGAGGGCTGGGGAGTCGGCCTGGAATCCGAGGGGCTGCGTCGGTACAGAGGGAAGGACCGGGCCCAGCCGGGCGCCAGCGCGCTACCCCGAGCGACCGGCCGCCCCTGCCCCGAAGGCCCGCTGCCCACGCCCGGCCCGGGACCCGCCGGAAACCGGCCCAGGCCGATCCCGCACAGACGCCGCGGTCCCGAGCGTCGAGAGAGCGCGGGCGAGGTCTACCACTCCGGAGAGGCCCGCCAGCGGTGAGGGGGAAAAAAGGGAACGCACGCCCGGCCCGGCCGGGGCCGACCCACCCTGTAGGAGGCGGATCTGCCGCCGCAGCTGCTCCTTTTCCTCCATCTCCCGAGTCCGCGACGCCCGGCCAGGCCCCCGCAACGTCATCGCTGAGCGACTGCGCCCGGCGGGCGGGGTCGGAACGGCTGAACGCCGGGAGCACCCAGACCGCGGGGGGGCAGACTTGCGCCGTCGCCTCAGCAACGCGGGGCTGCGCACGCGCAGAGCGAGCCGCGGGTGACGTCATCGGGGAGCGCCGGCAGCGGCGACTCGCAGTGTCTGCGCACGGGGCAGCTGGAGGTTCTCGAGGGGCTCCGGGTGGAGATGAACCGGTTAACAGTTGCCTTGGGCCGGGAGGCTCTGCTGACGCCAAGCTGAGGCCGGAAGAGAACGATCGAGACGCCCCGAGGCCTTTTACGGAGACCTGAAAGCCTGGCTTGTGGGTGGAAAGAAGTGTTGAAACGTGTAAACCCTTGTGCACTGTTGGGAACGTGAAGGTGCAGCCGCCGGAAACGGCCGTGGGGTTCCTCAGAAAGGTAAAGGTAGGACTGTGGCAAGCCCCCACCTGGGGGACACCCAGGAGAACCGAAGGCACGGACTGGGCGGTCGGTGCGACTCGGCAGCCTCGTCACCACAGCCAAGTGGAAGCAGCGCCAGTGTGTGTGCAGAACAGAATGTCCACGTGCATGTGATGGGATGTTATTCACCCTTGGAAAGGAATGAAGTTTGACCTGTGCTATAACGTGGACGAACTTCGAAAACTATGCTAAGTAAAAGTGTGGGTTCCACTACCCCTGCCAGAAGAATCAGATCAAAGCAGAAACAAGACTTTATTCTTAGGCTTGAGCATAAAGGAGGGGGAGACGGACATTCCAGGCTGACTCAAAGGCAAAGGTGTGCAGCTTTCATGACATCCACGGGACTGCTGCTCGATGTCATGAGGGCAGAGGCACAGTGTTAGCTGGGCCTGGTCTTCATCGTGCCTCTTGAGTGCCATTCATACCTGTCTCAATGGGCAAAGATGCGACTCATACAGTTGAGGGGGAGAAATAAAGAATGCCCATGCACTTCTGCCCCTTTCTATGTTTTATTCACTCAAATCACGCAATACAATTTTACTCTGTAGGTTTTTTTTTTTTAATTTTTTTTAGATGTAAATGGACACAATAAACTTTGTTTTATTTTTATGTGGTGCTGAGGATCAAACCCATTGCCTCACACGTGCCAGGCAGGCACTCTGCCCCGGAGCTACAGCCCCAGCCCACTCTGTAGGTTCTTAATCAAGAAAATGTGATCCTTAATGCTGGGCACTGAAAGAGACATAATCAATCCATAGCAAACAATTCTAAGTTAATTCCAAGCACTGCAGTCACACTTAATCATGACAGACATTCCCTCTGCAGGCTAAGCTCAAGTGCCAGATCTAAAGTCTCCAGCCTTAGGCTTTAAGTCCAGCAGATGCACACTGTCTCAGACCTCAGTGATCACTTGAGGAACCAAGGCAGGTTTCTCCATGAGGAGAGGGTCATAAGGGGAAGTTGCTGTTCTCACCAGGGTTAAGATGTGGTTGTAGAGTTTGAAAGAGGTGAGGAAGATGCAGAGGATCAGGCAGATGATGAGAAGAGTTGGGATGTCAGTCCAGGTCCTCATCAGGCTCTCAGTGAGGGTATCAGTGTCACTGGCTGAATGTCTATTCATTGGTCCCATCATTTATACTAAATTTTTTCAATCCCTATCAGCTGTTACCAGGTTTCTCAGTGACATCATTTGTCCTGAGTTTAAGGCATCTGGTCTGGTGATTCCCACCCTGATTTTCTCACCTCTTGCCTTTATCAGGGCGAGGGCAATGTGACAGGCAGTCTTTGAGTTTGTCAGAATTTTGAGAAGTGACTGCTTTTATCAGGCTGTGTCTGATGACCATATTGGAGGTCTCCCTAAGTGAACCTGGTGGGGACTGCAGTTTTGTTTCAAAATGGAGTTACTTAAGGCCATCCTTACAACGTCTCATTACCATCTTAATCCATCTGCCCATTGTCCCAGAGGTGGAGCACCTATAAAGCTAAGCAATAAATATGCTACTATGGTAACTTTGAAGTAACTATTTTTAGAGTTTTAATGACAAAATATTATGTGCTATGTACTGAACTGATGCATAATATAAGAAATTATGGAAGTATTTTTTAGAACTGGGTTGTCATTTTATTTCAAGGAATGCACTGTATTTCAAACTGTATTTCAAATTCAGTGGTGGAAAATAACTGTCCTATACATAGGACGCTGGGACACTGTGGACTGCACAGTAACAGGCATTGGATTGCCTGAAAGTTCTGGGCCGCAGAAGCAATATCCGCCTGCCCTCATTATCCTCTTTGTACATCAAAATTCATCTTTGCCTCTGCCTGGAGTTCAAAGAGGCTGACTTATATGGCCTGTGTTTTCCCTCTGGCTTCCTGTTGGACTTGCCCAATTAAAGGCACAGCCAGAAAGGAGATGAGGGTCAGAGTGTTATTCTCCATGATTGTTGTGTCACAATCTCCATGACTGTTGTGATGGCCCACTGTTTAAGTCCTAATTTTCAATTGCATCTTTTAACCCTGTAAGACTGGCTGAGGCTGAGCACAGCATCTGCTGCCTCAGCACTGGCTGGTTTTACTAGCAGCGAACAATAAGGTGGGTAATAATTGCCACCTCTTTTGCAGTCCCTGGTGTTTCACCATGTCTGGTCAGTTCCCACAATCCTGTCTGTATCTTTGTAAATGTTCATTTTTTTATACTCTCTTCAAACACCCCTTTTCTGTGCCATTCTTTTGCTGTTAAGGCCCTGGCTACTGTACTGCCTTTAATAGTCATAGCAAGCTAGATATATAAATAAATGTTTTATGCCTGATGCTGTAATAAAGATAAACCAAAAGCACACTGGATGTATAATTGAATATTTCTAGTCATCTACTCAAAATCCATTTTCCAGCCAGGCACAATGGCACATGCCTGTAACCCTAACAGCTCAGGAAGCTGAGGAAGGAGGATTGCAAGTTCAAAGCCAGCCTCAGCAAAAAGCAAGGGACTAAGCAATTCAGTGAGACCCTATCTCTAAATAAAATACAAAATAGGGTTGGGGATGTGGCTCAGTGGATGAGTGCCTCTAAGTTCAATCCCTGGTACCCCCCCAAAAAAATCAATTTTCCTTTTCTTCCTTGAGAATAAAGTGGTTCTATAAATGCTTGAAATAGTCAAGAACACACAATCACACTCTGAATCACACTATTTTTTTCCAACAGTCTGTTCACTGCTTATGATTTGTTGATACATCTTTGAAATGTTGGATTCTAAGCACCAGGCACTGTGAGGAAAAACAGACTGAACAAGTATCTTCTGAAACCAACGACCTCGATGATAAAATAAGCAAGAGGGTCACCTGATTACAGATTCAGTGCTCATGATGAAGTCCTTGCTGTAAAATGGTGGGATAATAAACGTGTCCTTGTTGGAATGAACTACAGTACAATGGAGTACTCCACAGCTGTCCGCGGTAGAGAACCTCAGTGAAGAGCAGGTGAAGGCGGGCACCGTAGCACATCCCGCAGTCCCAGTGCCCTCATGTTGAGCTCCAGACCCAAAAATGAAAAGGGCTGGGGATACAGCCCAGAGGCAAGGCACCCTTGTGTTTAATGCCCAGTACAAAAGAAAAGGAAAAAAAAGATTGGGGCTGGGGCTGGGGCTCAGCGGTAGAGCACTTGCCTAGCATGTGTGAGGCACTGGGTTTGATCCTCACCACCACATAAAAATAAGTAAAATAAAGGTATTGTGTCCATCTACAACTAAATAGATATTTTAAAAGATTATGAGCCAATGTACCCAACCACAGGTAGTAAGTACTTATAACAATTTCAGTGTGGTGCGATAGACCTGATTGGTTGGTTTCCAAATATTTCACTTCTATTTGAGGTAAACAATGATATTGGACTCTTCACTTGAATAATTGATACACGTATCATAAGTATATGAATTATTTACAGATTTGTGAACAAAGACAAAAATCTCAAATCTGTTGGATTTCAGAAGAGCCATCTGCCTAGCTCTCTAAATCACCAGAAGGAAGAAAGGGTCATGCTCCTGGGGCTACTACTGTCCACAATGGTGTCAGACTGGACATGAGAGGCCATCTTATCTTCAAACTGTGGGAACAGTGATGTGAGAACAAGTCATAGGAGACAGCAGATGTGGCTCTCAACAGCAGACATCAGGAATTCAGTGTGACCCTGTGTCTGAGGGGGTTGGCTCCTTCTCACTGTTGTGGAGCAGGTTGTCACAGCCGCTTCTTCGTAAACTGTGGGATGTGCGCCCAATGTCCTGTTCATTGGATGGCTTATATATTTCTAAGATAGTGTATTGTTCCAGTGTCCTGTTTGTAGGTATTTTTTTCCTCACTGATAATAAACGACAAATATGCTGCAGGTGATGGTAATGATTTCCAATGTACTATAATGCACCCATGTCATTGAAATATTTGCAGAATTAAAAACTTGGAACTGGGCCAGGATTCTGGCTTAGTGGTAGAGCACTTGCCTAGCATGTGTGAGGCACTGGGTTCGATTCTCAGCACCACATACAAATAAGTAAAATTTAAAATTTCATCAACAATTAATAAAGAATATTTTTAAAAACTTGGAACTAAATGGGTGAAGTCTTCATGTTGGGGTGTGCTTTTTACTATGCTAATGGGGTAAAAGTAACTGCGAGTTACTTCAGTGATGATTCTATGCCTACTTGTGTCCTTCCCATCTAGAATTTGCTCCTTATCAAATCTGGGAGAGTCCCTAATATTTGCAGAACAGGGCAGAATATTGTCCTGTCCCCTGGGGTTTGGTCTTACTGACTGTCTTGTCTGTATCTGCTGACCACACCATCTTAAAAGCCTATACTAATGTCCCAACCAGCCATCTCCTTGAAGACGCCCATGGCCTTGAAGACTGGCCCACTGTTTAACTCCTGACTCAGAGCTAGGTTGGCTGTCTCGTTTCCTGCTAAGAGATTTTACCCCTTAATCTTGAGGTGTTCTGTTTTTCATGGGGGTCTCTGTCTTACATTCCCCCTGAGTAGTTTTCACCC